AACCTGATTCTGTCATGGTTGCAATCATGCGAGGAAAAAATTGCTAAATGCAATCCGGGAGTTCCATTCTGAGAAAGTTTCTGGAAAAATTTTCAGAAGGAGAAGGTCATCGATCAAACCAAAGTGGACTTCATGCTAACAGTCTTTGAACCAGGTTGGCCTATACTATCGCCAGGAAGTATTATGCCATTGGGCAGGAGAAGCTCAAAAGGTAATTAAAACACCACCTGCAACTTTCACTATATTTTACGCTATGAAGAAGATTAATCTCAAAAAATGCAGCAAGTGACGTTACAAGTTAGCAATTGAGCCTTGCCAGGCTAGTATTAGAAAGAGAGAAGAAACAATGCCAAGGATATAGTAAGCATTGGATAACTGTAAAAGGCAACTATGTTCATATCGTCTTTGATGTAATCTTACTCTTTATAACATTACGGTAAAACAACTTTTCAACAGCAATCTGCAAACTCCTCAGATCTTCAAAATTATTAATAAAATAAACTTAGGGAAATTTGATAAGATCTCTTGAAGGATCGCAGGTTCTCCATCAGGAAATTCCCCGAAGTACAGCAAGTCCACATCTTTTAGGTGCTTGATTTCCCCTTCTAAATCATCATCTTACCAGCAGGCAAGACCAAATGATGTTGTAGAGAAACCCATTTTTCTTGTCTAGTAGGAAGCATAGCATATTCCTTTTTCCGAAGATTCTCTTGCAGGTACTCTAAATCTTACAAACTCATTCACCTAGATTTTATTGCATCACTCCTTTGTCGGAAACCTGGAAAACATGTAATAAATAAAAGAATATTCAAGCAACATTCTCAAGTGAGTTAGGTAGCAAAGATTGAGATGTGGTACACCTCCAATTTATATTTTTTTAGTCTTTGCATCGTGATCATCTAAAGCAATAAGAGTAACTGCAGCAAAATCTGGAGGTAGCAACGGAGAGGATGTTTAGAACCAAAAAAAAAAAACAAATTGCAGAAGGAAAAAAGACAAAAATAAAAATAAAAATACGCAAGATATATAGATATTTGCTTCAATGTGAGAATGTTCTCATCCGCCACTGCAGATGATGAAAAATTCAAAAAGAAAATTGCGTACCCTATTTTCTGTAACGTCTTCCACTTTGATGAGTATATATAAACTCTAACGACAACTATCTATTTTTATGAAAAATTAGGGTAAAATTGAATTACAGTTGTGATCAAGCAACTTGTAATATCTACGACACGGCTGTGATCAATCAGCTACATCTTGTCCATGGAACCAGCACTATCATAACAATATACTTCCTGAGGTGATAAAAAGGCACCAGGTTGCATCCTCACGTGAAGAGACGGATGCACATGGTACAAAATAAAAGGCCCAGAATGTAATTCCTCCATTATTTTCTGCTTTAAAGTGGCCGTTTCTTTCCAGATGAATGTGTCGAAGTAGGACATTTGTGATCCGCTGGATGACCAAATCAAACACCATTTGAGTAAGCATTTGTAATTTCAAAACAATGAAGCTTACACCACTGTTTAAAGTTGCCCAAACGACTAAAGGATACAAGGCCAAAGAAACTTTGTTTTTACAAAGACAAAAATCATATGATTTATAACGTGTTGGAGATACATTTACAAACTTGAAGAGCAGCCTGCCATGTTGCTCATCTCAGATCTTCTTAAAATGGTTTGGTGCATACATCTCTGTGCAGTTGTTATCTAGTTGAGATTTTGATATACGTATTTTGTGCAAGCTCTTCCCTTTAATCAGTTCTGAATCGTCAAACAGAAATGATACTTGTACATGGGAAATGCATAGACAATTTTACAGGATCTGAGATGGCAACATCTGATTGATTGTTAAAACTTTATTTTTTGTCCAATATCCAAAAAATTGTTGGCATGTGGCATTCTATAAACCCATTTGTTCATTTTCCTGGTATATGTAGCATTGCTTATCGTCTGAGCATTTGAATGTACAATGATAAACTAAAGCCATAAGAACAAGTATATTAGGCAATAGAGCTCAAACCACTCAATATTGTGAAAACACATATCACCCAAAATCTTGCTCCATTCTCTAATAATGCCAAAAGTAATCTTATATTTGCAGCTAACGACCAAGCATTTCCTGGCAAGCAACCATCAAAATTGATAATAATGATTAAAACAGTAACCCAAATTCATAATCCTACGTATAGAGAGCAAAACGAAGGTAAAGAATCCAATGTGAATACATCCAATCTATATACAGCAGGCATTCATGGGGCAGATTTGGAGGTAATTTAGGATGTTGTGGGCTGCCAAAGGGGACCATGCCATTTAGATATTTGGGGATACCACTCACGGCCGAAAAAATGAAAGTTAATCATTTTGCACCATTTTCGGATAAGATTACGGCATACATTAACACACGGACACGTATTTCATTGGCATACGCCTGAAGGGCCGAATTGGTGAAAGCCGTCTTGCAAGGAGTGGAATGTTTTTGGTTATCTGTATTACCAATTCTGGCTGAGGTTACATTGAGAATTACACGACTTTGTAGGAACTTCCTTTGGAATTCCCAAAAGCCACTAGTTGCTAGGGCGAATGTGTGTCTTCCCAAAAGTGAAGGAGGCTTGGGATTTCGAGACATCAAGAGTTGGAATAATGCATTGTTTGCAAAATCTCTTTGGAAACTTCATGATAAGGACACTCTTTGGGTCCATTGGGTCAATCATGTGTACTTACGAGAGGCTTCAATTTGGGAGTGGACACCTAAGAGATGACTCTTCATTGCTTAAGAAACTATTGACCATTTGGGACCTGTTCATCCAAAATGAGGGAAGCGAACGGGCAGCCATCCAGCTATTGGCGAAATGGAAGAGTGGGGACAACCTTAAAATACCACAATCTTATGATTATTTTCAGCCAAAGGGATCTACAAAAACCTGGGCAGTGGATGTGGAAAGGATTCATCACACCAAAGCACTCTTTTATCCTTTTGTTGAGTGTCAATCAAAGCTACTTACCAAGGATGAACTACAGCACTTGGAGATTGACAGAAACTGCATCTTTGGTGGCAGATGGAGGAAACCAGCCAGCGCTTGTTTTTCGCCTGTCTTCAGTGCGTCATTGTGGGGACATATCCGAAAGTGGATGAGTATTACACGCTCAATGTTTACGTTAGCAAGCTCATTAAAGTTGATTAAAAAGGAGGCTCGGGGGACTTCTTGGCAATGTAAAGCCAAGAGAATCGCACTAGCTAGCCGTCTACAACATTTGGATGACTAGAAATAAATAGATATTTGAAGATTTTAGCCCATGCTCCAATAGTATTGTGAGATGGATTAAAACACATGTATACAAAATTATGTTTATATTATATCCTAATGTTTTGATCCATTTTGAGTCTTGTGTCGTTGGTACATCTTATGATTTAGTAGGGATTTTGTAAGTCCGGGGTATGCTCGGTATACTTGTAAATGAGTTTTGATCTATATAATTCTATATTTACCGATAAAAAAAAAAAAAGATCCTTCTAAAAGCCACCTATGCTCAAACTCTTTTCCGCTATTTCGCAGAATGCTGCAAGAATGAGATGAAAAAAAATCGAAAAGAAACATTAGAAACTCTCAACGACATTTAAGCTATTAAACACATTCTATTTTGAATAGATGCAAAGTTCGTTGAACGTAAAGTGGCAAAAACAAAGATTCTAGATATCAAATATCGTTGTCAAAGAAGCATACCTAGCCTTGAGTAACTCGAGTTTTTAGACCGAATAGATAGCATCATCAAGAATAACTTGGGTTTGTAGATCAATATCATCTACCAACTTTCTGTTCCTCACCTGTTTCAATTTGAAAGAATGTACTTTTCTTTAGTTTCTTTGCAAAATACATATATAAAACATGTAAAAATAAAAATGATAACAGCTGAATTCATCTTTCGGCAATCAATATTACAGAAGCATTACAATTTTTTCAGGGAAAAAAATGAATTTGGCCAGTGAAAGAGTTGACATTCATTGATGGATGTATAGGCGCTGATAAGAAGATTATAAATCACAATCTTATGAATTAAATCATGTTCTGTGTCGAGTATTACTTAATAATATGCACTATTTATTTTATTATTAAAAACGTGCTTAATTGTTGAATAGTGAACTATTTTTTTTTTAGTTGCCCAAAATAGAACTTCGATTCCAAATTCTAATAAAAACAAGAACCCAATTCTACCTTTGCATTTATCTCCGGTTAGAATGAGAATTGAAATTAAGATATTTTACTATTATTTATTTATTTTTATATTTTATAATTCTATTAATTTCTTTTATTTCTATCTAGGGACGAACACGGTTCAGTTTAATGGTTTGAAACGATTTATAAAAATTGAAATATAAATCAAACTATTTCGAAGCAATTTAATTTGATTCAAAATCACAGATAGAATTCCTAATTAAGGATTTAGCTATGTATATTTGTAATTTCAAAATCCATTAATATCTATTTAAGTCTTTTCAATTAATGAAATCCTCAAGAATTCAGTATTTATGGTAGACACTTAAATTTTAATGGAATTTATTAAAATCTGAATAATGAATTGGAGACACCTAGATTAATAATAATGTTATTCAACTGCATTGATACTTAGAATCAGTCTATATGATATAATGACAATGATCACTGTCATATAGTCCGACATAATTATAATACATGTTTATGCACTTGACAATGTGACAATGATCCCCGCTGCTACGTAAACCAGTGCTAAGCAATAGGGTAACATTAGATCAAAGTTTATTAAATTATGCATTTAATTTTTTTTACTAATATAGTCCCTATTTCGTTATTAAATTTAAAAATTAATTCCAGAAAGCCAGAAAGGTAAATAATCTCATATAATTAATTAATATTTAAATCCTGTCTTATACATATTTAAATACCGTACGTCTCCTCAATCTGTATACATCGTTAAGAGAGAAATCTGTTTACTGTGGAGCCTTCCAAGGTTTCTTGTTCCAACATGCATTCACCACTTCTCATGTTTCCTATGAAAGAAGAAAATAATGTTTGTTTTTTCAGTCTTGAAAATAAGAGAGAATTTGAACTTGAAGCTCGTTTCGAAAAGCTTCAAGAATGGCGTTTTGTAGGGTCATCTCATGGATGGCTTTTGCTTTTGGACGAGAAAGCCGATCCCATTCTCTTGAATCCTTTTTCAGGAATCAGTTTTCAACTCCCTGGGAAAGAGACTTTTCCACATATTCATAGCATCCAAGAAGTCAGGGACGATGTCTTTAAAGTCCATTACAAATTTAGGAATGATTCAGTTTTCTACGATTTGAAAACTCTTCGAAAACTTCTGATTGTAAAGGCTGTTTTGTCTACCAGTCGACCGTGCAACACAAACTGCACGGTGATAATCATGTACGACGTTCTTCGCACGTCAAGGCTCGCTTTCTGCAGGCCAGGACAAAGTGGATGGACTGGCTTTGGTGGTGAAATTGAGTCATATTATGACATTTTATGTAATGCTAATACATTGTATACACTTGGAGCTGGACCGTCAGTTGAAGTATGGGAGTTGGATGAATTTGCTCCAAGAAGAAAGATGGTTATTCAAGCTCGTTGCCCTCCAAATTGGACAGAAGCCCATCAAATTTACCCTTCTGATCTCTACTCTTCAAAATGTTACTTGGTTTTCTCCTCCGGGGAGATGTTTCTTGTTGCGAGGTATATTGGAGAGTTTGTTAGGTACGATGGAGAGGTAGTTTACGAGGGAGATACTCTAACTGATTACGCGTCCAATACTTTAATATGTCCTTACAAAACAGTTCAATTCCACGTCTACAAACTCGACTTTGATCAGAAAGTGGAATCTTTGAATGGTTGTGCTCTATTTGTGGGTGGAAATCACTCCATATCTGTAGTGGCTAAGGATCATCCTGGATGCACGTCGGATGCAATTTACTTTACTGATGATTACTTGGAAAGAATGGATGAGGATTACTCTTATGGAGGTCACGACATGGGAATCTTCAAGTTAGGAGATGGAAGTATAGAGCCATTGTTGGACTGCGATCAAGAAAGGATTGAGCCTCCACCATTTTGGATTGTACCTAACTAGTTTATTTTTCTACTTGTTTTATTTCTTTTTACTCGAATCACTTGTTATCAGTATTTTATTTTCATAGTTATACATTGGATTAGATTTTTTCTTGTAACAGAATCTGAAATTATCTGTCATTAAATTCTTGAAAAGTACTTGAGACTCTGTACTTCCAACTTCGTATCATGAAGTGGCTAACCCTTGCTAGCAAATAAGAATATCAAATGAAATTGTACGATCACTTGAACAATTGAAAGAATTTCCATAGGTTCCCATCTCAATACAAGAGTATTCATGAAATGCTCGAAACAATTACCAGCATTACTTGATAGTTGATACACTTTTATTTATCCTACTTATAGTGGTAAACGGAGAAATTAACAAGCCAACAAAATATTGCTCTAGAAAAGAGTAAACTGGTAAGAATTTGAAATGGCATTCGAGAAAGAAAAGGATTTCACTTTTTTCATTTGCTTCAAAAACTTAAAGACACTCTAGGTGGATACTCACCTAGCTTCCAAGTTCCAAGCCAGAAAATACAGATTCGAGCCTATTTTGTGGCTTCTTCACATTATTTGCCGAAAAAAATTGAACGAAAATTTCTCTCTTGTAGTTTAGAAGTTTCCCGTTCTGGTTTTCATTTTTCACCTTTTAACTTCAACATGTTGTAGGAACAATCTGCCATGCAAAATCTTACATACTTCGAGTGTTCAATACAAGAGTAATAATGAAATGCTCAAAATTATACCAACATTACTTACTCTAGTCTATAGTGATGAATGGAGATGTTTAATGCCTGATAAAGAAAACATAATCTGACATTTAATCTTGTTCAAGGGGCTTATGCTAATCTTTTCATCTCTCTGTCACTCTTCTTTAGCTAATATTTCAAAATTGGTTGTCGACTTCCAGGATGTCTCAAGCGACTCTATGAAAGGATTATGGGCCGTTCTCTTTGTATTTCAATTTTGTGTTTTGAGTTTTGAATTCATTTTGGATTTCGTGTTTTAATTGTTCATTTTGGGATTGTTGAAAATCTGTTCTTTTTGGCATTTAGAAAAATTGTTTTGAAAACATCCAAAACGCGTTTTGAAAATTTTGACTTGATTATAACTGAAAATACCAAAAACGACAAATTTTTTTGGGTTTTCTTTATAAATTTTTAACTTGTTTTCAAAAATGCGTTTTCGAAAATAGAAAAAAGAACGACGACGGTTGGTGGTGGTTTGCAGGCAGCAACAGTGGTGGTTGGGTTGAAAATAATTGAAAACAACGAAAACAAGTTTTGAAAATTTTGGCCAAATTATAACTGAAAACACCCAAAACGACAAATTTGTCGTTTTGTGTTTTCTTTATAAATTTTTAACTTGTTTTAAAAACGCGTTTTCGAAAATAGGAAAGAGAACGCGTTTTTACTATTTTGAAAAATCAAAAACAGAAAACGGTTTAAAAATGGTAAAGAGAATAGACCCTTAGTATCCAAAGACAGAAGACAAGAATTCGTCAAACTTTAAAATGTTCTTTGAGGTACGAAGGGATTTTCAATTTCTTAGAAAATAAAATTCCAGACCTCCTACATGTGCCTTAAGGAAAGTGTCAACATGTGCATTGGACCCAAGTTTCTTCATCTTAATTAAAGTTCAACATGTTTTTTCTCCCTTCATCTACTTTTTGCCTCGGCAAATGGAGATAGTTCCTACAATCTTAAGATGATATTTCAAGTTTTGCAATGGCACCATCCTGTCTTCTCTCTGAGACTTCGCAGTCGATTTTGTCAAATTGGTAAGGTTCGGTGGAGCTAACTTTCGAAGATGGCATATCAAGTTGCATTTCTTGTTGACAACATTGAATGCACTTAATGTTCTAACCACACCAAAACCCAAAGAGCCGAGGACATTGAAATCGATAAAATTTATGGTTATACGATTTCTAAAATAATCCAACTTATATTTGAGAGTTTATTATCTAGCGATTTAAACTTTTTTTTAAAGAATAAATTATATATATGCCCATTTATTAAAAAAAAAAAAAAAAGTAGCACATGTAAACAATATGGAGTAAATATGTACATCACTTTAGTGAAATTTTCAATTAATAATTTTTTGTATGAAATCTTTTTATTGATAAGTGGTATTTTACTTATAAGTAATTTTACATATAAATTAATTTTAATTTTACTTAATAAATAATTTTACAGTTATAAGTTAGTTTTTTACTTATAAGTAATTTTTACACATAAGTGAATTTTTTATTTATAACTTTTTATATTTTATAAGTGAATTTTTGTCCTATTAGAAAATGAAAGTCATGTCTATAAATATTTATTAATAAGGAAAATTAAATTACTTGTCAATTTTATTAGGTCATCATCTTTTGAAGCTTTTATTACATTGTTTGCCTCAATTTTTATAGATATTAAAGTGGACATAATGAAAACTAAACGAAGTTGAGTTTAATGAGGTTTTGTCTATAAATATTTATTAATATGGAAAATTAAATTACGTGTCAATTTTTTCGTGAGATATAAATGTATTAAATTGGATCAATCACGGTTTGACCTTTATTCGACCACAATTTGAACCCAGTTTGACCCTTTGTCTTTTTCAGTTCAATACCTCAATCATTTTTCAAAAACATTTATTATTCTTTGTAATCCTAGCTAGAAATTGAAAATTTCTCTGTGTAATTCTTAATAATACGAGTTATACTATTCTCTTATTAAGTTCGTATTTCTTGACGTTTGTAGTGAAGGTCACCGGGACTTGTCCTTTGTGTTCCGAAATACCCAAAAAAATCTGCCTTATTTACCTTCCACGCTGAAGATAATCAATATTTGCAATTGTTTGTCAATTTCCTTTTTTTTTGTAGTTTTATGAGCATCACACATCACAATTCAATTGTTAAAACATGAAATGGGCTTTATTTGCAATTAATGAGAAGTACAAGGATTTAATTGTAATTTGAGAAATCTCGTCTTATGATTCCCTGGGCCAATATGTCAAGTAGGAGAAAAACATTTTTGTTGCATAGAAGTCGATTACAATAATTCACGAATTTGGGGCCAATTTGTATGTTTCATTTTTTTATAGGGATTGGAGTAAAAATAAGGAAAAATAAAATTTCCAATCTATATAATAAAAAGGGAAAATTGCAGCTACGGTACCAAACTTTTTATTTAGTTTAGGCTTTATCCAAACATTTCATTTGTATCAACCATGGTACCTAATCTTTAAAAAATTGGCACCCGAAGTCCAAATTGATAGAAATCGTTAATTTAACCGTTAGTCGACTAAAAATTAAAAATCTAACCAATTGTTGACTAATTTTTAAGGCAAATGGATAACTTTACATTTTTTTCATATAAAAAAAAACTAAAATAAAATAATTAAATCAAAAACCAAAAAACTCCTATTATTTTCTCTACTTACACACACCCCACTCAATCCAAAACCAGGACCCCAAGGTGGAGAAGATAATATGGTTTTTTTGGTTTTTGATTTAATTATTTTATTTTAGTTTTTTTTTTATATGAAAAAAATGTAAAGTTACCTATTTGCACTTAAAAAATTTGTCAACAATTGGTCATACCTTTAATTTTTGGTCAACTAACGGTCAAACTAATGGTTTCTGTCAATTTGGACTCCAGATGCGAGTTTTTTAAAGGTTTGGTACCGTGGGTGACACAAATGAAAAGTTTGGACAAAGTCTACAATTAAATGAAATGTTTGATACCGTGACTGCAATTTTCTCTAATAAAAATCTAACGTCAAACTAATTTTGTGACACCTTATTACTTTATTTCGAACTTGAAATAATTATCGATTAGCAATGAGAACGATTTTACAAAATGCATCATTCCGCATAAATGCGAGCAGATGTTAATTGAGTTATTCTCATTCGACTAAAAAGATGATAGGGTTAATTGTTCCGATCGTAATCAAAATCTAATATTAATGTGCAAATTTTAAAATGTTTGTTAACTATGAATAACATTATTTAAATTTGAAACCATATTATCTTACAACTTATTAGTTGTATTTCACCTTCTCCAAAACGTACTGAGATGAAGCACAAATTCTATCGTGAGATTGGATATGGAAACAATTGAGAATTCAACAGAATCCTTTTGGGTTTCCTAATTTGAATATTTCCTATTATATTTTCATAATGCCAGTTGTAAACTAATAGATTACCTTCCTATTTCCACTGGGATTCTTTATTGGGCGTCTCTATATATTCAGTACTCTACTGAATTTGTATGCATTCATCATCTGAGAAAATTTCAGTTTAGTTTATTATTATGGAGTTGTTCGAGATGTCATGTCCCAACATCCATTCGCCCCTTCTTATGCTTCCCGTTCAAGAAGAAAATAATGTTTGCCTCTTCACTCTCACGAAAAAGGTACAACATCAATTTGAGGTCGACATCGAAAAATTTCAAAATTTCCGTTTTGTGGGTTCATCTCATGGATGGCTAATTCTTCTGGACCAAAAGGCCGATCCCATGCTCCTCAATATCATTACAGGATTCTTTCATCAACTTCCAGGAAAAGAGACTTTTCCGCACATTCATACCATCCGTGAAGTCGAGAACGAAGTCTTCGAAATCCATTACAAGTCTTGGGATTATTCAGTTTCCCACTCTTCAAAAACTCTTCGACAACTTTCTGTCGTGAAGGCTGTTTTATCTGCAAATCCATCATCTTGTGACGCAGACTGTAAGGTGATAATTATGTACAACGTGCATTGCAAGTCGAAGCTCGCTTTCTGTAGGCTAGGAGACCCTGGATGGACGGGCTTTGGTGGTGAAATTGAGTCATATTACGACATTGTATGCAATGGTAATATGCTTTATGCACTGGGGGCAGGACCTTCTGTTGAAATATGGGATTTACGTGAATCTACGCCAAGCATGAAGATGATAATTCAAGACCCTCCTCCTCGAAAGTTGATAGAAGCCCATCAAATTTACCCGTCTGATCTATATTCATCCCAATGGTACTTGGCTTTCTCAATGGGGGAGATGTTTCTAGTTGTGAGGTACATTGGAGAGTTCGTTAGGTATGATGGAAAAGTAGTTTATGAAGGCGATACTCTCACTGAGCATTCATCCCAGCCCTTAATTTGTCCTTACAGAACAGTTAAGTTCCATGTCTATAAACAAGACTTTGATCAGAAACTATGGCTTCCGGTAGAATCTTTGAATGATTATGCACTATTCGTGGGTGGAAATCATACCGTCTTGTTGCCAGTTAAGGAGCATCCAGGATGCAAGGCGAATGCCATTTACTTCACTGATGATTATTGGGATCGAATGGACGAGGATTACTCTTATGGAGGTCATGACATGGGAATCTTCAATTTAGGAGATGGAAGTATAGAGCCATTGTTCGACTGCGATCAAGAGAGAATTGAACCACCACCATTTTGGATTGTTCCTAACTAGTTTTCTTTTGCTCATATCAGTTGTTATCAATATAGGTTCACAATTGTATATGGTATAATAGTTTTCTTGTAATAAAAGCTGCACTTGCCTTTGTCAATAAATTCTGCAAAAGTACTTCAAAATGTGTGTTATCCGTATAAGTTTTCTATTGACTTGTATGTTTGCACCCTTTACAATTCTCTGTTATCCTTTGTGCTTTTGTTACATGGCAATATTCATCGTATTTTAAACTTTAAAGCCCAATGTTGCTTCAGTCAGGTTTGTCCAGCCAGGAAGATGGTAACTGATAAGTCGACCAATGGAAGAATTTGATATGAAGCCATGTCGACATAAGAATTTCATCTACTTTATTTAAACTACTTAAAGTGATAAGCAGAGACATTTTATGTCTGATAAAGAAAACAGAATCTTACATATGGTCTTTATTCAAGAAATTTATGCTTGTAATTGGATACTCTTTTTTAACTAATGTCTTGAAGTGATTGGTCTATGAAAGACATACCCTGCATACGAAGTATATAATAACTTGTCCGTATTGATCAGAATTCGAAATTTGCATTCGAAAGGGTTTTACTTATCTCATTTGCTTCTAAAAAATTAGGACAATCTAGGATGATATTCTCATATTTCCTGTGTCCTTGTCAAAATCAGAGGTTTTTCTCCAAGCCTATATCTGGATGGATGTTCCCTAAACAGTTACAATGAGAAGCAGCTCTTTAGGATTGCCCAATGCTACTTTACATTCCAAAATCGACTAAGTGAATTCTTTTGCAGATGCAACACTGACACGAATGCCAGTATATCGCGTGATTTGAGGCGAGGGAAATTTTTGTTCATGTGCAATGTAAGAGCACACAAAGTTCATCTGAAGTCTCAAATTCTGGTACCAACAAATGTTATGCTCGTTAGCCAGCATTGTCTTGCTGGTGAAATGTCCTCTAGAAAGAACAAAATGAATTGGTGTCCCGGCTCTTCCAAGTGTTCACCTCCATGTAGATCGGACTGTATCGGAAGTGGTCTGCTTCCCCCTTTCTTGAACGACGTGGAAAATCCTTAAAACTTTCTTGTAATGCCATCGGATTCAAATCACTCTCCAAACTTTCATTCGACGCATCAAAAACTTTTATGGCGTATTTAGCACAATAAAGTGGATACAATTGAAGAGTCTGTAACATGCCTTGGTGGCATTGTCGCCCCATCATATTTGTGTTTTTATTTGCTTTTGATCACATGCCTCAAAGCGGTTGGATGATACAAAATTTGTGTTGGGAATAAAAGATGTTCAGCAGAACCGAGGTGACAAATCTTTAAATTCCACATCCATTAATAAAAGATGAGAATAAAATTTGAAACAACAGGAATTAGAAGAGTAAACGAACGCAATTTTCCACCATTTCTGCCATTTACACATTGCTGTCAACAGATAACAACTCTATGGTACTAATAAAATATATAAAAAAATAATAATAATAAAAATCCGACCTGCCGGATTCGAACCAGCGACCTAAGGATTACTATGATAACACTACAGTCCTCCGCTCTACCAACTGAGCTAAGGTCGGTTGTATGCTTAATCGCTAGGTAAATTTTATATAATATCGAAAAACAAAGTCGTTTTTCAATTAAATAAACTACCTCTTTTTATTAATGATCGAACGGTAAGCAAAACATTAATACGGATTCTTAGAAAAAGGTATATTCACTTTCGTTCTGGAAAAAGCTGCTACCGCACCGGGTCTTGCTCACAACTTTCAGCCCCTATTTAATATAGTCAATAATCAGATTTTTGATAAAATTTAATAAAATATTTAGTGTAGTGCACATTTGACACAACTTTTGCTTTTGCTTTTGCTTTTACTTTTGTTTTCTTTAGAACTATTTTCGGAGGAAGCTACACGTATTGTTTATTAAAAATTAATTTTTAAAATAGCTTTCTATTTCGAAAGGTTTTTTAGAACAAACTACGTTTGAGCAGCTTCATTTAAAAACTCTTCTAATTTGAATAAACACTTTTATAAAATTAATCAAACGGATCAAAAATAACTTTCGGAGTCTCAAAAGCTCATTTTACTTTTCAAAAGACATGCCGAACAACCCTGTAGATTGGTTGATGGAAGCAAAGGATTCCAACAAAAACCACAACATGTCCAAATCTCAAAATCTACAATACACAACCTCGCCAAAGGTCGAAATACAAACCGGAAAAGGAAACCTAAGAACGACTTGCATTAAATTTACATTAAAACCCAACACATTACCCACCGTAATAAGGAAAAAAAATGAGTATGAAAAGCATCTTATGAATTCGGGGTTTCTCTTAAATGCATTTTTCAAGATTTGTCTTATGCATTTCTAAAACCCAACACATTACGCAATATTACAACCAAGGATCGAGAATTGGGAGAAAAATATATGGAATCTCAATTGACAAATGAAACAGGAGCTACAATAAATAGAAGGAAAAATGGGTGGGAAAATTAATTGGCCAGCTAATCAACTAAAACAGTTTTTGGCGCCAAGTCTTAATTACAAATTAATCCTAAACCTCTCCCTCAAGATAGAATGTGTAAATTGTGTTAGCCCAAGATTAACTAACCAAGAGGGGGTGAATTGGTTATTGAATCTTTTTCGTTAATTACTCAAGATT